CCCCAAAACCCCAAAACCCCAAAACCCCAAAACCCCTTAAAATAAATTTCATTTTGAAATTAAAATTAAAATATTAGATATAGCTAAGCAGCATGGAGAGAAGTATTCATACCTTTATTAGACTTCCAAGGTTTACAGACACACACAGAAGGTAAGATTGGTTTAAGTATTCAAATTCATGCTAATTCTTTATCTCAAAATGTCTAAATAAAACTATAGTAAAAACAGCCTCTGGATGAATGAAAATTATTCAAATGCTGGAGTTCAGTCCAGCCACTATAGTAGTCTTAATTCTTCCTACTTTCCATACTCCCGTAGTCAGAATAGTAGGTTATAAAACCAAAAGAAGGCACCAAGACCCTGTCAGATATCTACAAGAGTTTACAGAACAATGCAAGCTCGCATCATAATTTATAGGCCGATAAGAATAAAAAGTAATTCTGCAACAGACTATTTCTAACTAATTTAGAAGACCTCCTCTTGAAGTCTTTAGCAAACTGCAGAACAGGGTAACCTACCATGATTTACTTTATAGAGTAAAGAGTTAATAAGAAGAAGAAAGAAACAGAAAAGTTTTGGCAATACTCAGAATTCAAGCTTCGAATACTCTCACCCAACCTTTGAATCTCAAATTAGTGGCAAACCATGAGTTGTCCTTGAGAATAAATCAGACCATCTTATTAGAATGAACTATGTTAGATACGTTAAAACTCAATTCCACGAGATGAGGCTTGACGAAGAAAGGCAACAAGATGAAGATTCAGACTGTGATATAATCTTCAAATACTCTAGTGATGGGTAAGTCCAGCTATGAGCTATCTTAAGTAGCTTTGAGAAGAAAAACTGATCTGTTTATACATAAATTTTAAATATTAAAATCAAAATTTATCTAACAAATTACATCTTGAAAGAAAGAGATATTTCCTCTTCAAAAATAATTGCCAAAATATTTACTTTCTAACTTGGAGAATTTGGGCATTATTTTAATTTAAGAGGCATTGGTGTATTCCAAATTAGAACCACTTCTCTTTTTAAAGAGCTGAAATAACATATAGAAGAGTAAACCCAAAGCAAAGAACTTTGAACTCCAAAGTTTATGATTTTTACAGAGAATATAAAAAGCTCAACCAAGAAAAAGATAGTGGGTTAATCTCTATTGAAGAATATCAAAACAGATGTAAAGACCTTGAAGAGATTCATCGAGAAGAGATTATTCAAGAAATGGAGCAAAGTTATGATGTTGATGGATACAATAAAGTATAGTTTCTTAAAAATCTCTAGTTCTTGTCAAATATTGCAAGTGAAAAATAGGATGCCAAAAGCTTCGTTCCAGACACCTATATTAAATATTAAGCCTAAGACCCACCAAACCAAGCGGTCAATTCCAAGGACGATCTTGAGAGCAGTCAAAAACAAGCCTCATGATACTGTTATCCCCGGGGATACAAAGCTAAAAGCATATAGGGATGCACTTCAGATGCTCGATAAAATTAAAGCAACTGTAGATGATCAAGTTGTAATCAATGGAAGTAGTCTAAAAGATAGACTTGAAACACATAGTCCTGACTACCCTCAGATTGATGAGAATAAAATGGAGACCCTTGAAACTAAGCCTAAAGATGATTCGAGCCAGGAGCTAACTGAAAGGTCAGAAAAATAAAGTAGTTTATTGAAACAATAAAAAGAAATCCAACTTTGTAAAAATTCCGGATATTAACAAAGACTTAGGTATGGTCTGATGATAAATTTAGATGATACATTGGAGAGGCCCTTTAATGAAGAAGATGAGAGGAATGATCAGAGCCAAATTTCAAGTGATAATATTAAGCATCAAAACGTAGTTGGTTCAAAATTCCCAAGTATTGACCAACCTTACATTGATAATTACGAAGATTCAAGAATGGAAACATTAGAATCAAAGCCATACTATGGGAGCATAAATCAAAGAAATGAAGAAAATAAGTCCAAATCTTCTTTGAATGGATCTAAATTTGGCTACTCTACAAAATACCTCAGTATGATTTCTCAATTATTTTAGATCAAAAGGATTGTATTGACAAAACTGTTGATTATCGAACTCCTTTTCAGCCTTTAAAGCCTAGCATCACAAAAAGGCCTCAAGAAGAGGAAATCTCTAGCACAGTTTTTATTACCACAAGACCTTCAGATGGCCCACACTCAAAGTCTCTTGGGCAGAGAAACAGCAGAAACATACCTACATATGCAAACGGTATACTGAAACAAATAATCCCATTTAGATAAAAGTGATACTCACTCAGGAGGCCAAATAATGGGCCCTGCAGAGAAAGGTCTAAAAGGATTCCTTCAAACATACTTTAAAGGAAGGAAAAAGGGCCAAGATATTTTCGATAGATTTATAAAACAGGAAAAGCCTAACTCAAGCAATATGCATCTTAAGATGAAGAACAAATCAAGGAAACTTAAGAATCACCCAAGCTACAATTACCTTTAAACTAAAGTTTCAATGTGGATGTTTATAAAAGGGGTTTTGGGGTTTTGGGGTTTTGGGGTTTTGGGG